AGGCTCTGCGCTGAGCCGGGAGCCTGACATAGGGCTCGATCCCAGAATCCTGGAATCATGACCTGAGCCGAAGGCAGACGCCTAACCAACTGAGCCACCCCGGTGTTCCTACTATGATTTTTTTATGCTGGGTTCCCCAAAATGGAATTTTCACATCAGAATCATTTCATGAAAAATTCCATTGTAAGTGCTATTGACGCTTATGTGTCCTATATAACTGGAAATCGATAATCTTAATTAATCCAGTGAGTGATTTGGTGGGAGTGAAAACATTGTGTAGTAGCTACGTGCTTGGGAAAAATAGAGGAAACATTCTGCTGGGTGTTTCTTGTAACGAGTAATGGGAAGTGTGTGGGGAAGTCCCGGAATTCTGACCACACTTGGGTGAAATTTAGACCCAAAGACATACATGATGTTTCCTTCTTTCCTGTGGTCTCCAGGTTCCTCAGAGTGTGGATCAGTCCGACGATGAAGGGTTCCAGTCAGCATCTAATTTGACTCCTGACTCCCAGTCTGAACCAGGCATGACTCCAGACATCGACCTGTGGGATGCCGTGCTCACCTACGAGGCCAGCAAGCGGAGGTGCTGGGAGCAAGTTGGATGGTCCGTGAGCCTTTGCTGCTAAACGCATCCCCCCCCGCCCCCCCGCATGTGAGCGTGGCCTGTCCTCGGGAGGGCTCAGGCAGTTGTTTGTAGAGCAGCTATGGTGGGATTAGGAGCCTGGAAGTTTCATCAGGCTAGTGTGTGGCAGGCCTGGATCCTGGGAGGTGAGAGGGATGCCGAGGGGAAGGACTTGCAGGCTCCAGGGAGGTTTCTCCGGTGCCAATGACTTCTGCAAATCAGTGAGGGCTCCCAGTCAGAGGTGTCGAGGGCAGCCTGGCAGGTGCAGTCAGGGCCAGGGCACAGAGTGCTGGTGAGGGAACAAGCTTCGCGTCCACTGGTCTTCACATCCAGGGCTGACCGTGGTGCTCTCTGGCTGACAAGTTCAGTCATGGCAGAGCTGTCCTGACCGGTGCCAGCATCCCGTCCCCTGGGCTCATCCGTGTCCAGAGGCGTCTGCACTCAGGACCGCTCAGTCTGTAAAGCACTGGTGTCATCCCTCAGAAGCTCCCAGAATGGGGATAGAGGACACACATTTCCCACTATTTGCTCCTGGGACCCTCTTGTCCTATCTCATCTGCTGGCAATTCTGTGGAACTCCATTTTGGGGAGCATAGGATGCAAGAGTTAGTGTTCGCAGGAGTGCAGTGCCTTCTGATGCAGCGTCTGGGCCCAGCAGGGTCTCTGCAGGGTGGACATGGGCCGGGGCGTAGGCAGTTAGGGGCCGGTTGTGTTCGGGCACCGCTCCTGCTGGCGAGGTCATCTGTCTCGTGCAGTGGATTCCTCCAGGGATGGCCAGCTCCCTGCTTCCCTCAGCACCACCGGTGGTGGTGCTTGCCTTGTCTTGCAACTTCCTGTCTTGTGTGCACAAACCAAGTCTAGCCATCCCGCTTGCCGCTAACCCCCCACATGTCCCAAAAGTGGGCCAACAAGTTAGCACTTTCTTCTGTAAATATTTGCTTAGTGGTATTTCATTAGTTTCTACTTTTTAGGACACCATTTAGGAGATACGATTGCTCACCAGGTCTCTGTCCTTGCCCCCTGTTCTGCCGAGTGCAGTTGATCTCCTTGGCGTCCCCTGAAGGTTGCTGACCTTAGAGCTCCAGCAGCGAGGAGCACCGTGGCGGTCTTCCCCTCGCTCCCAGGACGTGAGCGCGTGCCCAGCAGTGCACACATGGTGGCTTCCTCAGGGAGACCCTCAGGGCCACGCCTCAGTTGGGCGTGGGACCCAAACTCACTTCCCCCAAGCATCCTCCTCTGCCTGTTCTGGTGCGAACCTGATCCCACTGGCCCCTGCCCCTGAGGCCTTTTGCACTAGTTCATTTGGCAAATCTTTTGAACTTGTTTCAGTTTAAATCCCAGCCACCTGCTAGTTTCCCTCCATGAGCTCTGGCTAGTGGGCAGTTAAGGAAGCTGCTGCCCTCCAGAAGCAGGGCTGCCTGTCCACCCGCAGCCCTAGGACTGTAAACTCTGTCCTCTGAGACCCCTGGAGGACCCCTCCCCTGTGCTTTGGCCCGAGTACCCGCGTAGGTCTGAAGGCCTCCTCTGCTGTTTCTCTGTGGCTGCACCCATTCTGGGGGGAGTGATTTCATTATGTTGACGGCTGAGTTCTCCGTGGGGACAAGGGGAATTTGGTGTTTTCCTTCATGGATTTTTCTGCCTTAGCTCTGAATCCCCCAAGGGGGCACACGTGGCCATGGCGGTGCTGGCGTTGACCCTGGAAGAGTGGGGGCAGGAACAGCCGGGGGTGAGAAATGGGATGGCGCCTGCAGCATGCACCTGTCCTGAGCAACTCCCTGGAGGAAGCTGAGAAGGACTTTGAAACTTGAGAAGTCTTTCCTCGCGCTCTTCTCTCCCCGAGGGAGCGAGGGCAGATGTCCGTGGTCTGGCCACAGCCTACCTGCCAACCTGGATGCCTCAGGTCTGGCCTCCCTGCTTCCTCCTGCCCTTCCCTCATCCTCCACACAGCTGGTGCCACCTTCCAGGGACAGAAACCAGAGCACATCATTGCTCTGTCTGCCACACTTGATGGCTGCCCCTGGTCTGGATCGAGGGCCAATCCTTCCGTGAAGTCCTCCCCGTACTCCCCAGCTCCACTCACACTGACCCCTTTTCTCTTGTTGCTCCCTGGGCCTCTTGGAGTCCTCCCCAGCCCTGGGGTCCAAGTCGATGCTTCCTCATTTCTCCCATCTATAGCGCCTGCCCTGGGAGGCTGGGCTTGTCTGCCTCGCTGCTCCCCCTGCACTCAGATACTTGCTGAAAGAGGGGAAGAATGATTGATGTGCATTGTCAATTAAAAAGGATTTTTGTTTTTTTTAAAGATTTTATTTATTTGCAAGAGAGGGACGCCTGGGGGCTCAGTAGGTTAAGGGACTGCCTTCGGCTCAGGTCATGATCCCAGGGGCTTCTCCCTCTCCCTCCTCCTGCTCATGCTCTCTCTCGCAAATAAATAAAATCTTTTTTTTTTTTTAAGATTTTATTTATTTGAGAGAGAGAGAGCAGAAGCAGGGGGAGCGGGGGAGGGGTGAGGACCAGGCTGCCTGCTGAGCAGGGAGCCCGATGCAGGACTCGATCCCAGGACCCCGGGATTGTGACCTGAGCTGAAGACAGACACTTCACCGACAGAGCCACCCAGGCGACCCAGCAGGATTTTTGATTTAATAGGTTCTGAGATGTATTGTTCTTGTACCTTGTACATCATTCCTGATGGGATGAAAACGTGCTGGTGGTCAGACATGCATCTTGATGTTAAAATGTTCTATAGCTTGGAGCTGTTACCCTCTCAGGAAATGACTTTTGTCTTTGAAGAATAAATGATACTCTTTTTGACATGCTAGACCTAAAATAAATTTTTTTTGCAGAGGAGGAGAAAGGAGCTGGTTAGGTATTAAAAATGAGAAGAAAAGTTTTAAAAGAGCTTGTATTCCCCAAGCTCCCTTTATTAAGAAATTACTTTTTCATAGGGCGCCTGGGTGGCTCAGTCATTAAGCGTCTGCCTTCGGCTCAGGTCATGATCCCAGGGTCCTGGGATCGAGCCCCGCATCGGGCTCCCTGCTCGGCGGGGACCCTGTTTCTCCCTCTCTCACCCACCGTGCTTGTGTTCCCTCTCTCACTGTGTCTCTGTCAAATAAATAAAATCTTAAAAAAAAAAAAAAATTACTTTTTCAGTGGATTTTAAAAAACAGCTCTTTTATGTTTTTCAGTAGGGGTTTATGGTTTTCAAAGGAATATTTAAAAAGTGATACTGGTTTTTTTTTTGGCTGCTTTTGACTGATGTGGCTGTGAATTCCTGGCATAGATAGGACGGCGTGGAGGCAGAGCCCCTGGAGGCTGCTGTGTGTCCAGAGGCACCTTCTGCAAGACCAGCAAGCCTGTTACGTCCAAGAATTTGTGAGACTTTTTGCTCCACTAAACTGAATAAAGGAGGGGCGCCTGGGTGGCTCAGTTGGTTAAGCGACTGCCTTCGGCTCAGGTCATGATCCTGGAGTCCCGGGATCGAGTCCCACATCGGGCTCCCTGCTCAGCAGGGAGTCTGCTTCTCCCTCTCACTATATGTCTCTCTCTCTTTCTGAAATAAATAAAATCTTTAAAAAAAAAAAAAATTAACTGGAAAAAAGGAAACCTCATTAAGATATTCGGGAGGCTGGCAGGGGGGCTCCCAGGAGGGAGCATGCTGCTGGGGCTAAATGGGGGGCCACCTGCCGGGTGTGTCTTGTGCTACGGGGGCTGCCCTGACTGGGAGCTCCCCCTGCCGGCCGCTGGCGCCATTCTCGTCAGCGCTCTTAGGCTGGATCCCAGGAGCGGCAAGATGCACGTAGCATAAGATTTGCCGTCATGCTCGTCTTGAGCATACAGTTTTGTATGTGGCTTATTTAACTTAGTGTAATGTATTCGAGGTTCATCCATGTTGTAGCAGGTGTTGGTGTCCATTCCAAGCCTGAATCATATTCCACTTCATGGGCAGGCTGTGTTTTGTGTATCCATTCATCTGTCGTTGGACACCTGGGCTGCTGTGGGCGCCATGCTTATTTTTAACATGAAGACACATTGTGATCGTCATCCTGAGGAGCAGCGTGTGCCCCTGGGCACTGGGCGGGGGGGGCACTTGTTGCTGCTTCTGGTCTTAGTCCCTCTCTCCCCTGCCTTTTGTTCATGCAGCTGAGGTGTGTGTGTTGCTCCATCCGCTCAGTGCCCCCTCCTCTGTCTCCCACACAGCCCCCCTGGCCACAGAGAGGAGCCCTACCTCACGGAGGCCGGAAGGGACGCCTTCGACAGGTTCTGCAGGCTCCGCCACGGGGAGCTGCAGGTGCTTGGCGGGGGCCTGCTGCAGGCCCCACAGCCCGTCCTGGTGAAGGAGTGCGAGCTGGTGAAAGATGCGCTGAATGTCCTGATTGGGGTCGTGTCTGCCACGTTTTCCCTCTGCCAGGTAAGCAAGTGCCGGCATGCGGGGGCAGCAGCAGCACCGTCTTGGCAGCCTGCCGTCTGCCTGGCACTTTACAGCGTAGACGGGAGCCCAGTGCAGGTAGCGGGCGGCCTCAGATACCAGCCTCTGCGAGGCGGGCTGGGGGTAGGGCGCTGTGGGTCTGCTGGGAAGCCGGCTCCATGGCCTGCCCGGAGGTCATGGCCACCGTCTTCTCGTTTCAGTTTTAAAAAGTATTAGTTTATGAATGCCATTTTAAAACTGAACAAAAGTGCGATGTTTATTGCTATTGGTGAAACAATAGAAACGTGCCCGCCATTTCCATGCCCATCCTCAAGAGGGGCCGAGGGGCCCTCTGAGCCTTCCCTGTACTTGGACAGGGTGCGCACTCAGCCCCGAGGACCACCTGCCTTGCAGGAAGGCCCCCCCTCCCCCCCTGTTCGGAGACTGTTGCTGGCTTTACTCAGTGCCCTGGGCTTCTCTCCTTGCCGGTGGGCGGGACCTCGCTCATTCTGGGCAGTAGCTGCAGCTTATCTACCTTTTGCCTCTTGCTGGGCACTCATAAAATAAATGAATGTATTTACAAGCATGAAGCCTTTTGTACATGTCAGTCTGCGGAGGCTTCTTTCATGTAAGTGCCCCGCCTCTTTGTTTCTTAAGCGTTCTTACATAGTGGCTGTTCTCGAACTTGAGTATGTGCTAGACGCACGGCCTGGGGTTGCCCCGAGACATGCTCTCTCGAAGACTCCTCAGGTGGTTGATGCAGGTGCTGGTGTGAGGGCCACCCTCTGGAGACTCTCTAGAATGCCATTTTTATGGTCTCTTATGAATGGCCTTACTATGGAAGCAACCCCCCTCCTTTTTTTTTTTAGTTTTGGTAAAATACACATAAAATTTAACATCTTAACCACTTTTTTCTTTTTTAAGATTTATTTATTTATTTACTTTGAGCGAGAGAGTGTGCGTGCGTGTGTGCGAGCTGGGTTGGGGGCAGGGTAGAGGAAGTGACTCCTCAATAAGCACGGAAGCCGTCACGGGGCTCGATCTCATGATCCTGAGACCAGGACCTGAGCTGAAACCAAGAGTCAGATGCCTAACTGCGCCCCCCAGGCATCCTCCACTTCTTTTTTTAACCCACTTTTAAGTGTACTATTCGGGGGCATTAATTACATTCCCAGTGTTGGGTGATCATCATCACTGTCTGTTTACAAAATTTTTCATCTTCCCAACCTGAACTTCCCAGACTCTGTCCCCATCACGCACTCTCCCCACAGCCCCCTCCCCGGCCCCGCCGTCTGCTCTCTGTCCCCCTGGGTCTGACCACTGCAGGTGCCTCCTAGAAGTGGAACCAGACAGGATTTGTCCTTCTGGGTCTGGCTTGTTTCAGCACAGTGTCCTCAGGGCTCCCCCGGGTCGTGGCAGGTGTTAGCAGCTCCTTCCTTTTTAAGGCTGAGTACTACTCTTTGTATGTATGTACCACGTTTTATTTATGCATTCATCTGTGTGTGGGCACATGGGTTGGCCGTTGTGAATGTGCTGCTGTGAGCGTGTGTGTGCAAGAGTTTGAGTCCCTGCTTTCAGTTCTTTCAGGTATATACCCGGGAGTTGAGTGTTGGGCCCTGTGTTACGTTATGTGTAGCTTTTGGAGGAACCAACGAACTATTTTTCATGGTGGCTGCACCACTTTACCTTCCTTCCCACATCCTGTGAGGGTTCCAATTTCTCTTTGTCCTCATGGACACTTGTTTCATTTGCTTTAAGATAACTGTCCTGGGCGCCTGGGTGGCTCAGTCGTTAAGCGTCTGCCTTCGGCTCAGGTCATGATCCCAGGGTCCTGGGATCGAGTCCCACATTGGGCTCCCTGCTCGGCGGGAAGCCTGCTTCTCCCTCTCCCACTCCCCCTGCTTGTGTTCCTGCTCTCGCTGTCTCTCTCTGTGTCAAATAAATAAATAAAATCTTTAAAAAAAAAAAAAAAGGTAACTGTCCTGGGCACCTGGGTGGCTCAGTCAGTTAAGCGGCTGCCTTCAGCTCGGGTCATGATCCCGGGGTCCTGGGATCGAGCACCGCGTCGGGCTCCCTGCTCGGCGGGAAGCCTACTTCTCCCTCTCCCACTCGCCCTGCTTGTGTTCCCTCTCTCACTGTGTCTCTATCTGTCAAATGAATAAATAAAATCTTAAAAAATAAATATTTATATATTTAATATATAAATAATATTTAATATTATTTAATAAATCATGTTTTTAAAAAAGATTTTACTTACTTATTTGACAGAGAGAGGGAACACAAGCAGGGGGAGCGGCAGAGGGAGAGGGAGAAGCCAGCTCCCCGCTGAGCAGGGAGCCCGACGTGGGGCTCGATCCCAGGACCCTGGGATCATGACCTGAGCTGAAGGCAGATGCTTAATGACCGAGCCACCCAGGTGCCCCCCCAAATAAAATCTTTAAAAAAAGATAACTGTCCTAATGGGTGTGAAGCGGTGTCTCATAGTTTTGATTTGCATTTCCCTAGTGATTAATCATACTGAACATTTTTTTATGTGCTTATTGGCCATTTGTATATCTTCTTTGCAGAAATGTGTATTTGAGTTCTTTGCCCATTTTTGAGTTGAATTGTTGAGTTGTAGCATTTCTTTATATATTCTGGATATTAATCCCTTGTCAGTTTCATGATTTGCAAATATTTTCTTCTATTATGTAGGCTGTTTTTTCACTCTCCTTATAGTTTTCTTCGAAGCGTACATGTTTTTAATTTTCATGAAGTCCAGTTTATTTTTATTTTGTGCCTTTGGTGTCATATGTGAAAAACTGCCAAATCCGGGGTCAGGAAGATTTGCCTCTGCGTTCCCCTCAGAGTTTTTTGGTCTTAGGTCTTAAGTTGAGGTGTTTGATCTACTTTGAGTGTATTTTTGTATGTGGTGTTGGGGGAGGACCCAACTTAAATCTTTTGCATGTGAATGTCCAGTTTTCTCAGCACTGTTGGTTGAAAAGACTGTCCTTTCCCCATTGAGTGGTTTTGGTGTCCTTACTGAAAATTAATTGGCCGTACATGTGAGGGTTTACCTCTGGGTTTCCTGTTTCGTTCATCTGCTCTCGGCATCTGTCTTTATGCCAGGAGCACACTGTCTAGATTACTGTAGCTTCGTAATAAATTTTGAACGTGGGGGGCACCTGGGGGGCTCAGCCGTTAAGCGTCTGCCTTCGGCTCAGGTCGTGATCCCGGGGTCCTGGGATTGAGCCCCGCATTGGGCTCCCTGCTCCGCGGGAAGCTTGCTTCTCCCTCTCCAGTTCCCCCTGCTTGTGTTCCCTCTCTCACTGTGTCTCTCTCTGTCAAATAAATAAATAAAATCTTAAAAAAAAATTTTGAACTTGGGAAGTGTGAGGCTTCCAACATTTTTCTTCTTTTTCAAGATTATTTTGGTTCTTTTTTTTTTTTTTAAGATTTATTTATTTTAGAGCATGTGAGCAGGGGGAGGGGCAGAGGAAGAGGCAGAGAATCCCAGGCAGACTCCCTGCTGAGCGCAGAGCCTGACCACCAGGCTCCATCCCAAGACCCTGAGATTGTGACCTGAGCCGAAATCAAGAGTTGGACACTTAACCGACTGATCCTCCCTCCACCTCCAGGTGCCCCTCCAGTGCTATTTTAAACAGAAATGGTGAAAGCAGACATTCCTGCCTCCTTCTTTGTCCTGGGGAAAATCTTTCAGTCTTTTACCGTGGAGTGTGATGTTAGCTGTGGGTTTGTCATACATGGGTTTTACCATGTTGAGGAGGTTCCCTATATTCTTTAACCTATTGAGTGTTTTTATCATGGAAGTGTGTTGGAATTTGTCAAATGCTTTCTTTGCACTAATTAAGATAACCCTATTTTTTCTTCGTTCTATTAATGTGGCCTATCGCATTGATTGATTTTTTTTTTTTTCACTTCTCCAATGAGTATTTGTTATTAGCTAAGCCATGATTCAGGATCCCCAGGTGGGGATCAGCCGGCACACAGGTGGGAGAAGGATGGAGGGCAGAGGAGAGGCGGGTGGAGCCAGTTGAGATCTTCCCAGGAAACGTGCCTTCTGCCCGGCGGTGGTCCCGGGCTGACACCCAGGGTATGGGGCTGTGGGACGCATACAGGTGCTGGTCTCATGAAGTCCGCGTAGTTCTTCCAGCGGCTCCCGCTCTGCCTTTCGCTGGGGAAGTGGCTGGCCGCCGGGCAGTCTGGTAGTTCTGGACTTCAGTCTTGATCCACGGTACTGACTCCTAAAGACGCCCCTGAAGCAGCTCGTGGGTCGGTGTGACCCTCGGCAAAGTCTGAATTGATTGATTTTTGCATGTCAAGCCACCCTTTTTAACATGCTGCTGGATTTGATTTGTTAGTGTTTTCTTTTTCAGATTTATTTATTTATTTGGGGGGGTGGCAGTGGAGAGGTAGAGAATCCTCAAGCAGACTCCACGCCCAGCATGGAGCCCCATGGGGGGCTCCATCCCATGACCCCGAGATCATGACCTGAGCCGAAACCAAGAGTCGGATGCTTAACCGACTGAGCCACCCAGGCGCCCCTGATTTGTTAGTACTTTATCAGAGATTTTTACATTTACGTTCATAAGGGAAGTTGGCCTATAGTTTTCCCTCCTTATAGTGTCTTTGTCTTGCTTTGGAATCAGGGCAATACTGGCCTCTTAAAATTAGGGAGTATTCCCTCCTTTTCGGGTTTTGGAAGAGTTTGAGAACAATTGGTGTTAGTTCTTTAATTGTTTGGTAGAATTCACTGGTAATGCCATCTGGTCCTGAGCTTTTCTTTGTTGAGAGGGTGTTTTGTTTTTTTAAAGGTTTCTTTAAATTGCAATAAAATACACAAAACGTTCACCATCTTAATCTGTTGGGAGGTACTGTGTCTGTGGGAGCCTGTTGATAGAGAGGCTGTTGGCTGGGACGCCTGGGGCTTGTCTGTTGGCCCTCCCCGCCCGCGTGTCAGAGCTGCAGTGGCCGGCCTTCGCGGCTCTCCCTGTGATTCCAGGACACAGCTCGGCAGCAGCCATGTGTTGTCTCCTCGGGACGCGTCCCTGCGAGTCCAGTGCTCAGATCTAATGACCGCACTTTAGGTGTTGTGCGTGCACTTCTCAGGTAGTGTGGGAGGCCGCGTGTCTTCTGCACCCGCATCCACAATTGGCTTGACGTTTCAGATACGTACTGTTTTTCAGTGTGGTCCATAAAAACTCCTATTTGTTGTTTCTGCGTGTGCATGTTTTCATTGCTGAGGGTGGGACGGTCGGGCTATGCTTTGTGGCTGTCTGCTCTCTGCTCTTGGCGCTTCCTGTGGGTGTGTCTTGGTTTGGGGCACCCAGTCTTGGGTCACTCTGCGCCGTGCTGAGAGGGTGGAATGGGCGACAGTACCGTGCTGGGCTCTGGGTGCCTGACTCAGTAGCCTCTCCTCTGCCCTGTCCAGCCAGCTCAGACCTTCATGGTGAAGCGGGGTGTCCACGTATCAGGAGCCTCCCCTGAGAGCGTCAGCAGTCTCCTCTCAGAGGTGGGCGAGTGGGGGACACACTACACACGCCTGAGCCAGTTCTCTCTGCAGCCTGTGCTGGACTCCTCGTGCAGCAAGGGCCTCGTGTTCCAGGTACGGCCCTCCGCCTCGTCACTCTCCCAGGCCTTCCTGGGAGCCTCAGGATTCTACCCCAGGACCACTGAGTGCAAGCCTTTTGTTTCCTTAGCAACGTCTAAAAGCTGACAGTCCCTCTTCAGGAACGGGGTCCCCAGGGATGATGTTTTAGCTCCACTGTCACTTACCTGCAGACCTGGGTAGCCGTGTTTAGGCCATGGGATAGAGGTGTGGCCAGCATTCCCGGGGGCGGGGGGAGGGCTGGGCGGTATGGGGCAGGCTTATGCTGCCTGCTCCCTGCTGGGTCCTCAGGGAGTTGCATAGCGACCGACACAGCATCCTCCCTGCTTTGGGGTGTTGAAGTTCTAGGCCCCGGGGCCAGGCCAGCTCTTCTGGAGGACCTCACAGTCGGCCCATATGCCGGGCAGAGTCCCCCTGGGACAGCAGGTGCAGCCTGCTGGGAGGGGCAGGCGTCCAGATGGAGCAGGGCGTTTGGGGAGAGCTGAGCGAAGAGCAGCAGGGAGGCTGAGCAGAGGAGGCAGGATGCTGGGGCCCACGGGGGGCTGGGGGGCACGGGCTCCTTCCCTTCGTGGCCCAGTGGCAGTGCTGGTGGCTGATGAGGTTCGGGTTTGAGACGGTGCAGGCCGGGCCCATGGAGGCAAGGAGGAAACTGACGAAGATGGGAGGGACTGCCATGAGGGTCGAGGACGTGGCTGGTGGGTAGACTGACTTTTGTTCCGGAGCGTTCCGTGCAGACCCGCTGCTGCGGTGCAGCCCAGGACGCGTGTGTTGCCGAGAGCCCGGTGGTTTGAGCGGCCAGAGACCCTCTCAGAGTTGGCACCCACGTGCAGAGCCTGGCTGCCCCTTCCAGAACTCCCCCTGGGACCCGCAGTTCCCAGCGTCCTGGTGTAGCTGGTCTGGGCCCTGGGATTCCGTGAAGGGTCCTTCCTTGCAGCTGGGCTGGGGTGCCTGGGCATGACCCATCCATGCCCATTCCTTGGAAGATGGAGCCCCAGGGTTGGGGACGGGAGCCAAGCCTTTTCCCCCAGCTCCAGTGCATCCTGTAAGTCCTGAGCTTAGCGGCCATGCCCCTGGGCCTGGCCGCCCCGCTCCCAGCCCCGTTGCCCAATAGGCCTTCACCAGCGGCCTGAGGAAGTTCCTGCAGTATTACCGTGCCTGCGTCCTCTCCACTCCGCCCACCCTGAGCCTCCTCACCATTGGCTTTCTTTTCAAGAAACTGGGCCGGCAGCTCAGGTGAGCCTTGGCGTGGGGGCCGAGTATGGGGGCCGTGTGGAGGCAGGTGCGGGACTTGCTGGGCTGCAAAGGGCTTGTGAGAACAGGGGCCCTTGCCCCCGGTGGGCTCCCCGGGTGCTGCGTGCTGTGTATCTGTTGGTGGCCTACCGTGGCAGGCCCCGTCTAGGGCTGGGGGCACCTGCCTGAAGGGCACACGGGTTCCCCACAGACCTGGCTCCTGGCGCTCCTGGTCAGTTCGTAAACCCCAGGCGGAGTGGTGTGGCAGGTGCCCTCTGGAGAAGGGAGCATGAGGGCCTGGGGATGCTGGGGAGAAGGGTTCAGTGGGAGAGGAAACCTTGTGGGCAGAAAGGCTGGAGGTGGGGTGCAGTGGGGGTGGCGAGAGTCTGGGGGCGCCTGGAGGGTGCTGGGGCAGGGGCACTGTGCTGCCATGTGGATGTAGACTGCAGCAGGGCAGAGAGGGCGGGGGTCTGGGCGGGGTCTGGGCAGTCATCCAGGCCAGAGGAGGTGTCAGCCGGCGTGAGGTGGCGGGGTGCTGCGGGGGCGGGGGGAGGGTCATGCACCCAGGGTGGTTCTGAGTCTTGTCGGAGCCTGAGAAGGGGGTGGAGATGCACAGGGTGTGCAGGGGGGACCAGGCAGGAAGCTCAAATCTGGAGTCCTTGAAGTCTGGGTGCTTTTAAACCTGGAGCGTGAAGGCAGGCAGAGATGGGCCTGGGAGACATTTTGCTCTGGTGTCCCTGGACCTGGGGCCTCTGAGTGTCTGCTCCCTGGTCTCACGCAGCCTCTGTGTCTAGGTACTTGGCTGAGCTCTGTGGTGTTGGCACTGCACTCCCAGGTAGTGGGGGCGGAGAACCCAAGGCTGCATTCCCCACCGTGAGTTCTGGGTTCTTCCCGAGTGTCGCCCCTTGGTGGGGCTGCTGCTGGGCGTCGGCCGCGTGTGGTTCTGCGCTGAAGCCCCTCCCCTTGCTGTCTCCAGGGGGTGAAGCTGCTCTCCTACCTGTACCAGGAGGCTCTCCATAATTGCAGCAACGAGCACTACCCAGTGCTGCTGTCCCTGCTGAAGACCAGCTGCGAGCCCTACACGAGGTGGGGCCCGCG